GGGCATAGCCCTCGACATCGCAGGCATTTCAAAGCGCTGGGCGGACCGGATCGGCAATGACAAGAAAGACGGCGAGGGGATCAGCGGCGCCCGCAAGCTGTCAAAGAGGGCGCCGCTGCAGCTGGATGGCGATCAGTTGGAGCTGCAGGTCTCTGACCTCAAGTCGCTGCGGGCCGACCTCGCGATCATCGTCGACACGTTCGGCCGCAAGCGAGAGGATGTGGAGATCTTGCAGGATAACAGCGAGTTCTCGCAGTGCATCGTCTCTGGAAGCATGGCTGTCATCGAGGCTGAATGAATGATGGGCTACGGTGCGTTCGGTCGTCGCGAAATGAGCGTGCGCGAGTTCGTTGTCAAGTTGGGCAAAGAGAAAAAGTCGCCCACGCCACCCACCGCGATGGTGCTGATCCTCCAGAAGTACATTGGTGATATTGCGAACCTTGACGGGTGAGGGTTGAGCGCGCCACTGCACGTCCATCGTGTTTTTTTTTGTTTTCCGAGGAGTTGTGGTGATATGATGATGCTACTGACGTGTGCGAGCATCATGGCGGGGACAACGTGGATCATGATGATGAGGGGGATCCTGGGATCGAGGGAGATGGGGGGGGGGAGGGGGGGATCATGATGACGATTGGCGGCCGCGCGGTGGCACCAGAGGAGGCTCCGCGTTGTCCCCGGTCCCAGATAGAGGCCCCGCGTGGCCTCAGAATGGCCGCGCGTTTTGCCGCGCGGGGTTTTCGAGGGCACTGGCAGAAACGGGCTCTGCGTGGGTGCTGGTGGGGGCTGTCTCGGAGATATCGTGGGGTCCTCCTGGCGCCCTCTTGGAGCAGTTTCGGAGCACGCGGGCCCTCTCGAGAGACAGATCCAGAGATGCGCGCGCAGCTTCGGGAGGAACGCGGGGGGGGGGGGGGGGCGGCGAGGAATGGGGAGGAGGAGCATGAGCAGCAGGAGGAGTAGGGCACGTGGCGGTGGTGGAGGAACGAGTTCCTCCTCCCCTCCATCATCTTCTATCCTCTTTCCCCTCCTCCCCCCCCGTCCCGTCCCTCCTCGTCCTCCTCTTTTTTTCCCTCGCTCCCCCGTGTCCCCCATCCCATTTGTCCTCCTCCACTTCCTTCCTCCTCATCCTGCCCACCCCTCCCTCACCCCCCCTTCCTTCCTATTTCCCTCTGACCCTGACTCCTCCCCTTTCCCTCCTCGTCCTCCCCCCGTCCTCCCCCTCCTCCTCCCCATTCCCTCGCCCTTCCCTGTGTGTAGCTATTTTGGCCGATGCTCGAGGCTCGAGCAATGGCCCGCGGGCCTGCCGAATCGCCCATCGCGTCGCAGAACAGTGTGGCAAACGCTGTCAACGGGGCTCGTGCCCGAGATTAACTTACCAGGTGTAGGTCAGTATGGGCCCGCTTGGTTTGGGCGCGGCCTGCTCGGGCACGCTTAGTTTTCGGAGTGTCTGCTCAGGCTTGATGGGTTCCCCAGCTGTTTGCTGGTGCCCGCTGGGCTTCCCAGGTGTATTTTCACGCCCGATTGGTTGTCGACGCGCTCGTTCGGGACCCTGGGTGTTTGTCCATGAGTTTGCTGGGGCCGATAGGGTTGTCCAGATGTTTTTTTTTCGGGTCCGATGGGTTTGCCAAGTGCCTGCTCGGGCCCGCGAGGTTTCCCGGGGCCCGTCTGGGCCCGATGGGTGTCTCAGTTGTTTTGTTTCGGCGCCGTCGAGGTTCCCAGCAGACTTTTTGAGCCCGTTGCTTTCCCCAGTTGTGTGTTCGGGCCCGCTGGGTTTTACGACGAGTTGGTCGGTCCCCTTTCGGCGTTCGGGATGCCGCCGTGCCCGCCCAAATATCGCGGGTGCGCGGCGCGTGTTTTTGTGGCCGCGCGCCCGCGGCGGCCAATTCCACGTTCGTTTCGCCCGCGTTGTCCCCCCCCACCCCCCCCCCCCCCCCCCCCGCCCCCCCCCCCCCCCCCCCCCCCCCCCCCCCCCCCCCCCCCCCCAGCGAAGGGCCGTGCTGGAATCTGCATGGATGGAGTAGCGCGCCCTTTTGCCTCCCGTTGCTTGTTTGGTTATCTGGCGTGTCAGAGGTCGCGGCCCTTGGGCCTATTTGCGCGTCTTCGACGGACGCAGAGCATCGCTTGTCAAATCGGTGCCAGGTTTTTGAACAACTCGGGCGTTAACCCAAACGCAATTTGTATTGTTTTCACGAAAACAATTGTTCAACAATTTGAAACCGACTTCCCATCGATGCCATCTCTTCCACTGCTGTAGGGGGCGGGGAACAACATGCACCAGGGAAGGTCTTGAGGGTCAAACTGTGTCGTTGGCCCCCGGTTTGCAACGCAGCGGCTCCCGCGTGATACTTCCTGACAATGTATTGCAGAATCGCGCTCTCGCTTGGGACTTCCTTGCGCTTTGCCGCCGGATCGCGGGTCCCTCTCTGTGCTTCTTCACAATTTATTGAGGAGTCGCGCTCTCGCTTGGGTCTTCCACGCAACCCACCGCCGAATCGCGGCTCCGCCTGATATTTCCTCACGATTTATTCAGATGCCGTTCCGGGGCATTCACGAATCGCGCTCCCGCTACATTTTGCCTGGCGGTTTAAGCGAGAATTTACGCTTCAACGACCCGCCCGCTCGACCCGCCCGTCTGGGCCTGCCCGCCCGACCAACCCGTTAAGGATTGCTGTCGCCGCTCGCTGCCCTACGCCCGCCTTCGACGCCTCTCGCTGCCCGTGCTGGTTCCGCTGTCACCTTCGCTCGCTGCCCTTCGTGGCCTTGTTACTGCCCTCAGTGGCCCCGTCGCTGCCCATTGTGGCCCCGCATTGCATGCCCTTCGCGGCCCCCGCTCGCTCGTGCCCTTCGTGGTCCCATGCGCATGCGTTTCGTCGCCCCGCCGTCGCCGTTTGGGGCCCCCCTCGCTGCCCTTCGTGGCCCACTTTCTGCGCTCAGTGGTCCCGCTGTCGCTCTTGCTGGCCCCATATTTGCATGCCCTTCGTGCCCCCCGCCCGTTTGCGTCCGTCGTGGCCCCATATGCATGCCCTTCGTGGCCCCGCTGTTGCCCTTCGCGGCGCCCGCTCTGCCCTTCGTGCCCCCGTTTCTGGCCTCAGCGGCCCCGTCGCTGCCCTCTGTGGCCCCGGATTGCATGCCCTTCGCGGCCCCCGCTCGCTCGTGCCCTCCGCGGCCCCATGCGCGCGCTTCGTCGCCCCGCCGTCGCCATTCGCGGCCCCTTCGCTGCCCTTCGTGGCCCACTTTCTGCGCTCAGTGGTCCCGCTGTCGCTCTTGCTGGCCCCATATTTGCATGCCCTTCGTGCCCCCCGCTCGTTCGCGCCCGTCGTGGCCCCATATGCATGCCCTTCGTGGCCCCGCTGTCGCTCTTCGTGGCCCCCTCTCTGCCCTTCGTGCCCCCGTTTCTGCCCTCGGCGGCTCCGTCGCTGCCCTCTGCGGCCCCCTATGCGCATGTCCTTCGGGGCCCCTGCTCGTTCGCGCCCGTCGTGGCCCGCGCCAGCAACGGCTCCCGCCAGCGTTCCCGCAGGGTTTCGGAGCCCCTGGAACTGCTCGGTGGTCATCGGGGCCATTCCGAGGCCCCCCAGAGGTCATCGGGCGCTTCCAATCCCCCCGCGCGTTGTTTCCGCACCCGTTTCCGCTCGTATCCACCTGCCCCCACTTTTCAACGTTCTTTCCCAGTCTTCCCTGCTCTTTCCCTCGAGTGGATTTTCATGTCGTTCGTGCTCCATTGTGCTATTCTTCAGTTCTTCGCATTCCGCCCACTCCTCCCCAGGCCGCCCCGTCCCGCGCCAACAATCTCCACCCCTTCCCGTTCGCATTCCGCATTTCCTCCAAATCGCTCCGAGTCCCTTCTCCAGATTCCCCCGCGCGACCCCCGCTCCTCCGCTCTCCTCCCGGCTCCTCTTCTCCGCTCCTTGCCGCTCCTCCTCCTGAGACCCTACTCTTGCCCAGTCCACCCCAATCCACTCCGCGTCCCCGCGGCCATCTCGACGCGACTGCAATTATCGCTATCCTTCCGCCCTTTTTTCCCAACACCCCGCTTTTTTTTTCTCAGGGTTCCACGACATTTGTTTATGACACCAGTTCGCAGCTGTGCGCCCCCCCTTTGGGGCCATCCGCGATCTGTTATTTCAAAAAGAATGGTGCGTAGCGCTGTTTATGGCGCGACCATGGCGAAACTTATTGTTAACCTGTGTTGGAGTGGCTGGCGCTAGCCACGGCGCAAGCTGAATTGCCACGCGCAGCGAAACTCGTCGTCCTCCCTCCTTCTTGCCCCTCCCCTCCCTTCCTCCGATCCTTTCGTCCTCATTCCCCCGTTATATGTTGCCCTTCGTTTTCAAGGGCTTCACCAACCACGCGTGGCAGGGAATGAATATACCCCCGAAAGGGGGCGCGATCAAATATGCAAGGGGCTGGTATCCAGGGTTTGGGATATGCATATTGAATGACATGCGAGCAGATAATAGCGAACGTTATTACCATTTTTTTTTGCTGGTGGTTTTACTGATACGGTTGTTGAAGATTATTGGGGTGATGCTGCTGCTGCTGCTGGTAGGTTGTGGTGACGATTCTGGCGATGATGATGCTGCTGATGGTGTTGTTGATGATGACGGTGGCGGTGACGATGCCAATGGCGATGCCGATGGCGATGATGCGGTTGATGAAGGACGTGTGGGTTCTCGTGTGTAGGTAGGTCTGCTTGTCAGCCGTTTTGTTCGATTTGGAAAGTCTGGGAGGAGGAAGAGGAGGAGGAGAGGGGCGAGTAGGAGGATGACTGCTAGCAGGAGGAGGAACACGATGAGGAGGGAATCCGGCGAGACGTGGTTGAAGGCGAGGGATACGGACGGGTGATGGCGAAGGAAGGAGGGGGAGGGAGGAATGCGGAAGAGGAGGAACAGCAGGGAGGGAAAATGAAGGAGGGGCCAGGCGCGGGGAAGGAAGGGGCATGGGTAGCAGAGGCATGGGTCAGGAGGAGGACCACGCCGATCGGAGCTGCTCGGCCGGCGGGAGCCCGACCGAGGTACTTCTGGGTGTGGCGCAGCGCGGCCCAGGCTCAGGGACGCTGGGAAAATGCCAGCCGCCAGCGGGCATCCGCAAGTCCGTACCCGGGCCCTGCTCGCGGTGGGCGCGCCGCCGGCTCTGGCCCATCACGCTCAGACGCGACACGCCCCAGGCACGTCGTACTCTTAAGTCGGGCGTGTCCTTCTGCAGGAGGAGTATCCAAAAATCTCTTAAACATCGTCACGGGACGATTTCAAGATTATTCTTGATTGTTTTTTTCAATATTTTTGAGCATCTTCTAAATGTACCGTCCAAGCCGGCTTGTAGGGGGACATGCCCGCCGTAACCGTAGACACGTCCCAGTCCCCCCAGGCATTCACGCCCCGATCTTTGCCCACGCTCCCGTCCCACGAAGGAGAGCCACACGCAATCCGCTTGCCAGTCATGGCGCGGGGGCTGCCGCCGCGGCGCGCTAAGCAACAGTTCCTGAACGTCTCCCTGCGGGTCCAAACGATGCTGGTGTATTCGGCACCCCCGTGGGAGTTCAGTTGGTTGCAGACATCCGTCAAATTCTGAAGCCCCGGCCGGTGTTGCAGGAATCTGACCCGCGCGGGCAGGGTTTGCCCAGAGTTTCCGATCTCCCGGCGCAGACAAGTATCTCATATCTCGCAGGGCAACAGCGATACGAGCATACAGTTTCGGAGCTCCGCGCGTTTTTCTGGGTCGGTGCTGGACCCTCCTGGCGGCGTCTCTGGCGCCGCCCCTGGACGCGTGCCACGGAGGGGCCCACACCGATCCAAGATTTCCGCGCGGACCTCCGAACGTTGATGTAGCGCTTGCTTTCCTTGTTCTCCATCTATCCCCCCTCCTGGCTCCTCGGTTCGCTCTCCATCGATGGATTCCCCTTTTCATTATGCCGGGCCCGCGCTGGACCCCCTTTCTGGCCACCCCTGGCGGCACTTTCGGCTCTCCGCGCCCGTTCGCGGGGCTTTGCCGGGGAGCGGGTGCCAAGAAAAGGGCATCAGCGCCGACCCCAGACTCATGGACTCAGGAGGGGAAAAAACACACAGACACAATTATTTGTCGACTCCCCAGAAAATATACGAAAATATGGGTATTGGGCGGGAAGACAAAAATCCAGAAAATATGGGAAACTATGGGGAATCATTTTATTTGTGTGTATTTATTTGTGTGTCCCAGGGCCCCTTCATGGACGTACATCCAGCGTTTTGTTTGTAACGCAGCGATTGTGGTCCACTGCAGTTTTCGGGGTATGCCATGGTTGCTTTTCTTTGGTGTCTTCGTGTGTATGTAGGTGTTTGTTTGTCTGTTGAGTTGTTTAGGTCTGAACATAATCATTCCAATCCATGTGCCACATATTTCTCGTGTATCCTTTTATCCTGATGGACGAGGCTCGTCGCAATCAAAAAAGCGAGACGGCATCTCGCCCCCTCAGTCTGGGCCCCTCGGGGTCTGTTCTGGATCCCGGGGCCATCAACGTCAGTGTCCGCGACGGGGAGAAGGCCGATGTGCCAGGCGGGGAGGGGAGGCCCCCGAGAGCTCGGGGGGGGCCACGCGGCGGGAAGGAGCTGGCGCCAGAGATCTGGCCAGGCCCGAGGGCCCGTCCGCAAGGATCTGAGGCGCACTCCTGAAGTCGTCCACGCGTAGAGGGGGGGTACACTCTACACGATGCTTAAGAAAACTCAAGTTTTCGGCCAGAGTCTCGATTATTCTTAATGTTTCAATGTGAATCCTAAGATTTGAATAGACATTCTGGGTTTTTTTAGTCAATTTCTGAGACTATGAATTTCTTAACCCATGATTTCTTAACCATTTCGCAGGGGGTACTCCAGATTTCGTAACAAAGGGAGGGGGGTCTCATTTCGGGGGGGGGTCTCTTCCAGGCTATCTTGGAGGGCCTGGGGGGTCTGGGGGCGATGTTTTTTGGAGGGTTCTCCCACGGGGGAGGTCTGAAGTGGCTTGTATTGGAGGGTCCAGACCCCCTCCCTTTTATTACGAAATCTGGAGGACGTAGGGGGAGGGTGAGGGCTTTTTTTGGAAGGGCGCTGGTTCTCAGAAGGCGTGTGCCCTGTCTGCAGATGCCAGGCCCGCGCCTGCTAGGAAGCAGCCTCCTTCAATGAAGCATGCACCCCTCACTCACCCCTCCCGCTGCGCCGCCAAGAATGTGGGATTGATGATGATGATGAGGAGGAGGTAAATCGTCACCAGGGGAGGGGGAGGAGGAGGAGGAGGTGGAGGAGGTCGAAGGAGGAGGAGGAGGGGGAGGGGGAAGGGGAGGAGGGGGAGGGGGGGGGGGGGAAGAGGAGGAGGAGGCTTCCAGAAGTCCCTGGAGGTCTCCGGAGGTCTCTGGAAGTCTCCGGAGATTCCCCGGGGCTTCCGCGGCCTCTCGAGGCCTTTGGAGGTCCTGGGTGCCTCCGCAGGCCCTCCGACCGCCCTCGGAGGCTCTCCCCTCCGAGGGCCCTGCGACGGCCCTCCAGCGGCCTTGGGAGGGAACCATCGAGAACCATCACACACATGCATACCTACCTACCTACCTACCTACCTACCTACCTACCTACCTACCTATCTACATGTATACATACATACATGCATACATACATACATACATACATACAGACATACAGACAGGCAGGCAGACAGACAGGCAGAGACAGACAGACAGACAGACAGACAGACATATATATATATATATATATGTCTATCTATATATGTATATATATACATATATATATGTGTATATATATACATATGTATGTGTGTATGCATACTATTTGTAAAACAAAGCAAGCACAATCCAAACATAAGTCAAACCAGTGCACAGGGAAGGGACGTCCGAGCGATGGCGAGTGCCCCATGCAGGCAGGCGCGGTGGCGAGGCAGTACACGATGGCGGCGGCCAAGAGCCAGCGGCAGCAGGCGCAGGCACGGGGAAGGGGGGGGTGGGGGCAGGGGGGACGAGCGGGCAGGCAGGGGAGGGTTGGGCTGGACTAGGACGGAGGCGAAGGAGAGGACGGAGGGGAGGAGAAGAAGGACTCGGAAGGGGAGGGAGGGGGAGGCAGGAGTAGGAGTAGGATGAGGAGGAGTACGAGGATGAGGATGAGGATGGAGGAGGAGCAAGAGGGGGGAGGAGGAGGAGGGGAGGAGGAGGAGGAGGAGGAGGAGGAGGAGGAGGAGAGGAGGATGAGGAGGAGGAGGAGGAGGGAGGAAGGGAGAATGGAGGGGGAGGCAGAGTGAGGAGGAGGAGGAACGCGAAGAGGATGAGCATGGAAGGGAGAGGGAGCTAACGGAGGAGTATGAAGAGAACGAACACATGGAGTTCGAGGAGGAGGAGGAGGAGGAGGAGGAGGTTGAGGAAAAGGTGCGAGGACGGAGAACCATGGAGAAGATCGAAGGAGGTCGAAGGAGGAGGAGGAGGACGGAGGAGGATGAGGATGAATCAGGCGAAACCCATCCGGCGGAAGGCGCCCAGCAGGGCTGGCGGGCGCGGCCTTTTCGGGGAACCGATCTGCACTGCTCAAGGGCCCTAAATGGCGGCGGAAGCAAGCAGTGAAAGGAAGCGAACTGGAAGAGACAGAAGAGACAAGAAGAGGTAAGAACTAAGATGGATGGGATCGGTTGTCAACCTCATCCTTCTTTCTTTTAAAGGAAGGCAGGAAAAGTCTCAGGCAGTGCTCGTTGCGGCTTCTGCGGCCTTCTTTGCAGCCTTCTTTGCTTTTCTGGCTTCGGCACGCTTCGCCCGCCTAGCGGCTGACGGTGGGTTGCATTATAGCCGCCTGTCAGTAGATAGACGCAGAATAGGACACTCTTTGGAAACTGCGAACTTGCCATCATGGTCCTTGTCCTCTCAGTCGGCACTGTCATTGCCATTCTGGGCGGCTGGGACGTCGCCCCGGTCGTTGCCGTCACATCTCAGCGTCTCCTCTGAACTGTCGGTCAGACTGATGTCGGAAGACAGCCTGGGCCGCGTCTTCGGCGGCACCGGCGGCGGCTCGGAGGAGGGAGCCGGCGTCGCAACCGAAGCGGCAGCTCTCTGTTCAGCGGTTCTCTTCCGGTCTTGTACTTCAAGCTGTGCTCTCATCATCTTGGCCTTCTGCCTGTCTTTGAGTTTCTTGGCAGACATCCAATGACCGCTCAAATCCACGTCTCTGCGGTGACGATGGTCGTTGGATTTCTCGTTCGCTGTTGGTGCGCCTGCAGCCCGACGCGCCGAGTCGACAACCAAACGCTCAGAAAGAATGTCCTCCTTGGTTTGAGCATGTAGCTGCTGTCGAACCAGGCTCGCAGCTCGTTCGGCCTGCCCAGGACGACTCAAATCCTGGGAGCCTTGCATCCGCACCAGGGCGGGCACCTCTGCCCGGCAGCTGCCTTGCGACTCCGTGAGCAAATGGCGTTCTGCTGGGTTCAGCCGGCGCGGGGGCGGCAGTGCTGCTAGTTGCTCTGCGGCCGTCAGAGTTGCCACTGCAGGAGGTGGCCTTCCAGAAGGCGCCCTGGTTGGAGGTGGCCTTCCGGGCGGCGCCCTGCTCGTCGTCGCTGGCGCGTGGGGCAAACGTGCGCCGATGGCTGTGGCCACCGTCGCAGTCGCCAGATCCGCATTTCCCTCGGCCGGGGATCCCAAGCGCGAAGGTATAGCTGGACCCGTGCTGCTAATGGTGTCTGGAGGAGCGGAGGCAGGCTTGCAGGCTGAAGTAAACGACAAGGTACCTGATCGAATCGGACAGAGCAGTTTTGAGGGTTGCGAGTTGGGTTTCGTAAGCGGATCCGCGACCATGTCGGGATCCGGCTGCCACCACAAACCTGTTGGGATAAGTTTACTGCTGTGGAAACGCACCCACGAAACAGTAGCTGCCCGAATGCGCTGCAGGAAAGGGATCAAATCCTCCTCAGACACGTGTGGTGTAGTCGAATATATGTGCGTAGCCAGGTACCAACTATCAGAAAACAACACTCCCGGAGGTGGTTCCGAAAAAGTTTCAATGCTTCCTGAATGCGCCGTCGCGTCGCGAAATTCACATCCAAAACCTTCTCACCAGCCCGCGTTTCTGTTGCCAGCGTGCTCGTGCAGGTTCGTTCTTGTTTTTTGGAGGCCCTTCGGTATAAGCACGCTCGGACTACGGGGCTGTTTCCCTATGCCATTTCTCCAATGAAGGTGGCCACTCCCCGCTGCGATAGCTTGCTTCTGGGCGAATCTCCATGCGAACGCACGCAAATCTATTACGACATGGGTCCAACATTGAGCACTACAGGTTCGTTTCGGATGCATCGTGCGTTGTTGTTGCACCTCAACAGCGTGGCAACCGTGGTCAGCTGCACTTTGGATGCCATTGCGCTGTCGTGAAACGATCCTGTCGGCACTGTCTGGTCCACCGCCCAGATATGTTCGCCGAGGCACTTGCGAAGAGAGTTCCTTTCGATCTCTGTCACTGGAGAATTTGGGCAACGGGCGCTATGGGATGGAACAGCGATCGTGGACAAATTCAGGCAGTGCGCCTTCTGGTCTAATGTGATATGCGGCATGCGGATTGTAATCTGTAGCCCACAGAACACAAAATGACCAGACGAACGGCTACCCCACTGAAGAGGAAGAGAACCCACTACGTTCCAGAATCCTTCGGTGCCGGCCATGAGCGCGTCATCCACGTGAAGGCCGACGATGCCCTGCAGGTGGCCGTTCTCGAGCCGAAGGATTGTAATCCCGGGACATATGACAAGAAGGCCCCGAGCAGGGCCCCTATTAATCGGGGAAACATGCTGACATGCTTTATATTAGTAAGGAAACATAGAAAGCATTTTTGTAAACATAGGTAAAGGTTTTTTCTCTTTAGTATTATTATGTATATTATTAGTTTGTTACCCTTTTATCATTCTTTTTTTTTTCTCTCTTTTTTTTCTCCTATTTTCCAACATGAAACGTATTTTTCATGCTAATATAGAAAAGTAGAACGTGCCTTTACCTATTATAGGGGCAACATAGAAGGCATGCTTGCGTAAGCATAGGTTCACTTGCTCTCTATGTTTTCCATATTACTATGGGAATATGAAATGTATATTTTCCATATTAATATAGAAAAAAAACAAAAAAAGCGCGTTGACCGATTAATAATGGAAGAAATTGAAATAATGTTTTCATATACATTCGGTAGTGCGAATAAGAACATGTGCGATGTTTGTCAGCCGCGCGCGCGCGGCCGGGGCGATCGCGGCGGGGCGCGCGGGCGCGCTTCGCCCGGCGATGTCGGGCGCGTCGGCGCAGCCGAGCTGAGCGCTGCGAAGAGCGCGGGCGCGGCCGGCCAGCGATGTCGGGCGCGCCCGCGCGGCCGAGCCGAGTCGCGTGGGACGCGCGGGCGCGGGCGGCCTGCGGCGTCGGGCGCGTCGGCGCGGCCGGGGCCGTGGGCTGGGGGCGCGCGGGGCGGGGGGGCCCGCGACGTCGGGCTCGTCGGCGCGGCCCGGGCGCGCCCGCCCGGCAATGCTGGGCGCGCCGGCGCGGCCGAGCCGTGTCTCGCGAGACGCGCGGCCGCGGGCGGCCAGCGATGTCTGGCGCGGCGGGCGGCCGAGCCGAGGAGTCGTTCGAGGCGCGAGGGCGAGGCCGCCCAGCCATGTCGGGCGCGCCGACGCAGCTGGGCCGAGCGCTGTAAAACGCGCGGGCGCGGGCGGCGATGTCGGGCGCGCCTTCGCGGCCGCGCCGAGTTTCGTGGGGCGCGCGGGGCGCGGCCGCCCGGCGATCGCCGTCGGGCGCGCCGGCGCGGCCGGGCCGAGTTTTGTCGCGCGCGCGAGCGCGGCCGCCCAGCGATGTCGGGCGCGGCGGCGCGGCCGAGCTGACCCTTGCAATTCGCGCGGGCGCGGCCGCCCGGCGACGTCGGGCGCGGCGGCGCGGCCGGAACGGGCCTTGTAAAACGCGCGGGCGCGGCTGGCCAGCGACGTCGGGCGCGCGCGGCGCGGGCGAGCCGCCGCGCCCCGTGGAGCGCGCGGGCGCGGCCGGCCGGCGATGTCGGGCGCGTCGGCGCGGCCGAGGCGAGTTTTGCAAGACGCGCGGGCTCGGCCGGCCGGCGATGTCGGGCGCGGCGGCGCGGCCGGGCCCAGCTCTGTAAAACGCGCGGGCGCGGCCGCCCGGGCCCCCTCCCGGGCGCGCGCGCGCGTCTTATTCATCATATATATATTGTTAGGTGTCGAAAGCGTTTTATGTTGCACCTTTTTGTAGGTTTCCTAGTTTTTTATGTCTCATTCATTTTTTAATGGGAAAAGCGACGGCGCCTTTTTTTTTTTTTTTTTTTTTTTTTTTTTTTTTTTTTTTTTTTTTTTTTTTTTTTTTTTTTTTTTTTTTTTTTTTTTTTTTAAAAAAAAAAAAAAAAAAAAAAAAAAAAACAATCAACATATTTATATTTAGATATATAAGCATAGTTTCAATATATATATATATATATATATATTATATATATATATATATAATATAATTTATATATATATATGATCTATAAACCGCCCGGGGGCGCCCGGGGCACCTGGGGATTCCCCCGGGCCGCCCGCGGGAATTCCCCGGGGGCCCGCCGGGCGCGCCCGGGCGATCTGCGCGGCTTGCCCGGCGATGTCGGGCGCGTCGGCCGAGCCGTGTTTCGCAAGACGCGCGGGCGCGGCTGGGCGGCGACGTCGGGCGCGTCGGCGCGGCCGGGCCCAGTTTTGCAAAACGCGCGGGCGCGGCCGCCCAGCGGCGTCGGGCGCGTCGGCGCGGCCAGGCCGAGAGTTGTAAAACGCGTTGGCGCGACCGCCCGGCGATGTCGGGCGCGTCGGCGCGGTCGGGTCGAGTTGCGTGAAACGCGCGGGCGCGACAGGTCGGCGATGTCGGGCGCCGCGGCGCGGCCGCGGCGAGTTTTGCAAAGCGCGCGGGCGCGGCCGCCCAGCGATGTCGGGCGCGGCGGCGCGGCCGAGCT